AACCTGACCGTTATTAAAGATGCCAAGTTTATTGAAGTGCGGCACAAAAAAGGTCATTTGGCTGGCACAGTATATCCAGACCACAGGAAACAAAGAAAGAACCAAAGTAAGACTAGTTATAGATCCCTTATTTGTCAAATCACCAGGAAAATATTTTCTTTTCCCAGAAGAAAGGGGGTAGTGGAGATACCAATTTTATATAGAACAGAAAAAGTGTTGATCTCGTTTGAGAGAGAGTCAAAAGTTATGCTGTTAGTACCCAAATTTACATGCAGGCATTTTAGTCAATTGCAGAATTGATAGAGAAAAAAATGAGGGGAGACTATATAGACAGTTAAGGCACTGATAAAATATTGCATAAATGAAGATCTGCTAACACTTAATAGTTATTCTTTGTCATTTTAAAATTACCATGTCGGTTGAGGAATGCTATATGTTCATTGTATATGTTCTGTGCAGCCTAACTTACTTTCAATATATTTTAATGCATCAGATAATCTTTCAAAATAAATGATTCATAAGATAAAAAAAATCTTCACAAAAAAGTTGGCAGAACTTCTTCATATTGGAACTTCCATTAATCCGCTTAGAGGAGGGCATTTCACAGGGTTTCATGAGGCATCTTCAGACATGTACAGTAATAAAATCTGCCAACACACTTATTTCTTTATTTGAAGCTGCCAGACATTTGAAACATTTCATACCTTGTGTATATATATATGATCTATATAATGATAAAGTATGTAAGTGCTATTAAATCATGTGGTAATGGTTTAATTAAAAAAAAATCTCAGTCACCCACAGTTATCTGCAGAAAAATACAACATTAAAATGGCTGTGAAAGCATTTGCGTATGGAGAAAATCCACTAAGATAAATTTCATCATATAATTGGTCATTGCTTGCGGTGTAGTTCCCTGTGGTTGTGGTAAAATCCTTGTCTGCCATACAGGAGACCTGAGTTTGATTCCCTGATGCTTATACAACTACAGCCACGGAGGCATCAAACGTTGGGACTTAGTCTGGCCTTTGGATTCTGTTTCTGGGCTAAATGGGGTGGTGGAAGGTCTGGGCAGCCTAGGCATGTATCAAAGGTCTGGGTGACCTCTTGTGCGTACGCCATGATCCAGAAGGACTGACAGTTGCCAAATCATTACTTGCAGCATGTGCATGTGTATGTGCTCTTATGATATAAGTAGACAAGGTTCTTTGGGTAGATGTGATTATCTTTTATTAGACCAACAATGATATGAGCATGCATACTACTTAAACCAGTTTAAATCTGAAGTGAGCAGACATACAAGCCTGTTAAACCAATTTAAAGCTGCTAGGAATGGTTCAAAAGTATACCTGGAAAATCCTCTTTTGAAATGATTCACTGTGAACCAGGTCAGTGTTACATGTGACCTCAAGTATTCAATAACATGCATTTGGTCTGTCCTCCAAGGCATCCCACACTGCATCATTCCTCAAATCCCCACCTCCAAAAAGCTGTAATGAGCCTCTCTTGTATGCAACCAGAATTCTACTGATGACCCCCTTTTTTTCTATCTTTTCTTGGAGCTGCACCAATTTTTGTTTCTGGAATGCCATGAATACATGTGTAACTACATAAAATGAAGAAAAAGAATGTATCTGGTTTAATTTTAAAAGGAAATCTAAGGAGATATAATTAAGTTAGAATAAAGACGTAAATCCATGCTGTCTGGCAACAAATCACTCAGGGTCTCATCAGGTTCTCAATCTTGCATGTAACTAAAAGTAGCATGCATTAGTAGGGGTTTTGTGGGCTCTTGGGAAGCTTATTTTAACTGTTCTTATTCTTCTATGGTAGAACAGCTTTTTGCAAAATGATAAAAGGATAGTGGTGTGTGGGAATTAAAAACAAAGCTAGTTCCCATGGTTTTTAATCATCCAGGGAGTAGCCAGAAGTATAAAACAACAGAACTTCATATGTTTGAATATTTTTGCTTTATTAATATTGTTAAGTGGTCAGCTGTCTCTGGTTTTGAACACAGTTCAGCTGTCTGTAGCAAAAATATGAAACATGATACTTAATATCACTGCTGGAAATACTGTAAAAAGGAACTTTGATATCCCTCTTATTGTAGTAGTGTTGAGCTGATGATGTAGCCATGATGGTCCAGGAAAATGGTGAGGCAAGGACTTTTGTGGGTGATAACTTGTTTGTGTCCTTTCCAACTATGCAGTTGGTCCAATTAAGAATATCACTCAGAAAAATCCTTGCAGCTGAAAAAGGAGCCACATTCCTGGGATCTGACCGTTAAGTAGTGGAAATTCTTTGTTGCGTCCATAAATATATTGGTCTCTTTTTAGTTAAACAGTTGTTTTCTATTTTTGACCTATATACTCCAGGAATTTGCCTTAGTACAACATGTGAAACTCTACATTGTGTTTACAGAAAACAATCTAGGATACTTACATAAAGAGAACAGTGGTCTGGTTTTCATTTTACATATGAGACTTTATGCAAAGTACATTTTTAAATACTGTCTGACCTTCACATCTGAAATATATGGTGAATGGTATCTTGCCATATTAAATTACAGACTAGTTTCTCTGTAACCATGATGTCTGGTCTAATCATCTGATCTCTCTGTAGGCCACATTGCTCTCCTGATGTTATCAAGACTTGCCAAGAATTCACCTGCTCTATTGGTGTATAATAGTTCTGTGGATGCTATCTCAAAATCGCAATGAATTTACATCCTTTTCCTGGTAGCTGAGGAAACAGGTGAGAGAACTGAATAAAATAATTTTCACTTGGACTTATTTCAATCTGCTTTCATTCCTTGGGATAAAATAGGTGTTGAAACTCTAGATCTCTTTCACCACACTTCCCAGAGGTACACACGTTAGTTTTTATACGCTGATATGACAGAACATGTCATATCATGTTTTTATATGTCTGCATATAAAAACTATCAGAGATTGCAAGTTTTGCTCTTTTGAGAAATAATTTCTGAAACGCAGCCTTCTTTTTCTCTGTCAGGTCTTTATTTCGCATAGAGGATGTTTTCTGAATGAAAAATCCTTACCAAAAAAAGGGTTTTTGTAAGTCATAGATCCCAAAATTTCTAGGGATAGATGGAAAATATGTTTAGAAAGAGAAATGTAAAGACATTATTCACCCCAAATCAGTTTAAAGTCACCCTCATTACAAATGTAGTAGATAAAATAACCCAGCCTTGAGTAAGGGGCTAAAATAACCCAGCCTTGAAGTAAGGGGCCAAGGTATCATTCATCACAAAGTCTGGTCTTAGTGGTAAGCTACATGACAGATGTTCCTGAGGAAAAAGGCTCTCATAAGGTTTGAAGAAATAGGAGATAATAAAAAATGAATCAGTAGAATTTTTTTGCCGGACAGTTACAATTTTTATAAGTTATGCTAAATAAGTCGCATCTCAATTCTTTTGGATTTCTAAAGAGTATTTGCTGCTTCTCCCCGCACAAGCAGTTATATCAAATAAGCAAGTAACACATCAGCTATTCTGCAGTACAGGTTTTCCTCACTGTATGTACAAATTCGCTTTTATGCGATGACCCTATTTAAACCAAAAAATTAGTTATATGCGAGGTAAATTCACTCTTATGCTCTAGGTGTGGTGGAAGCCCACAGTCAGTTGCTTTGTGCAGTGCATTGTGGGAGTGACATGCACCAAAATATAGTCTCCTGTGTGGATTTCTGCTCCTCACTCGTTGTCTGAGACGCGTTTCTGTAGTTGCCATCCCCGTTATGATAATGTCCTGTGCTGTTGGCGAGTATCAAAATTGTCTTGTAAAAGTGGTAGAAATGGGTCTGAGGGTCAGTACAGTCCAGGTCTTGGAACATATCCCTATGTGTTACATTGTAAAGTGGCTTCCTTTTATGTAAATTCAAGTTATGCGTGATTTTGCAGGAATGCATGTACAGCATAAAGCGTGGGAAACCTGTAATTACCTGTGTGCCCATTCTTACCTTGCCTTAAGTTCAAGAAAACTTACCCCATTTTCTTTGGAAGGGTGTGAGCCCTTCATTTAGTGCAAAGAGTATACTATATATATGTGCAGGTACCACGGAGTAGCTGATGCACTGTAAATTTACATCCTTGTTTATCTGGCAGTAATTTCTTTCATAGTTTCATAGTTGTTAGGGTTGGAAGAGACCTCAATAGATCATCAAGTCCGACCCCCTGCCCTGGGCAGAAAAGAGTGCTGGGGTCACATGACCCCAGCCAGCTGCTTGTCCAGTCTCCTCTTAAAGACCCCCAAGGTAGGGGAGAGCACCACCTCCCTTGGAAGCCCATTCCAGATTCTGGCAACCCTTACTGTGAGGAAGTTCTTCCTGATGTCCAACCAAAATCTGCTCTCTGTCAGTTTCTGGCTGCTGTTCCTGGTTATTCCAAGGGGTGCCCTGGTAAACAGAGCATCTCCAATTTCTTGCTGCCTCCGCCCCCCTGCCCTGGCTATGAATTTGTAAACAGCCACAAGATCCCCTCTCAGCCTTCTCCCGTGGAGGCTGAAGAGATCCAGGTCCCTCAGTCTCTCTTCATAGGGCCTTACCTGCAGGCTCCTAGCCACGCAAGTGGCCCTCCTCTGGATCCTCTTGAAGTGTGGCGCCCAGAACTGGACACAGTACTCCAACAGTGGTCTGACCAATGCCACATGGGAAGTATCATCTCCCTGGACCTGTTCATGATGTACCTGCTAATGCATGATAGAGTGCAATTAGCTTTACTGATACTTCAGCACATTGACAGCTCATATTCATCTTGGAGTCAACTATGACTCTGTGGTCCCTTTCTGCCGCTGTGCTGTTGAGAAGGTCATCCCCTAGCCTATAGGTGTGTTGGTGATTCCTTCTCCCTAGATGCAGCACTTTGCACTTGTCTTTGTTGAACTTCATCCTATTCTTTTCTGCCCACTTTTCCAATCTGTCCGTCTGCCTAGATTCGATTCCTTTCCACTAGTGTGTTAACTTTACCCCATAATTTCATGTCATCTGCGAATTTGGACAGAGCGCTTTCCACACTCTCATCCAAGACATTGAATAGCACAGGTCCAAGGACCGAGACTTGGGGGACCCCACTGCCCACATCTTTCTAGGTTGATACCAACCCATCCACCACCACTCTCTGGGTGCAACCCTTAAGTCAGTTTGCCACCCACCTGATCATGTAATCATCTATGTCACAGCAGCTCAGTTTGTTTATGGGAATAGGATGAGATACCATATCAAAGGCCTTCTTAAAACCCAAGTAGATGACATCTACCTTGACTCTTGCATCTAAGCATTTTGTGACCTGGTCATAAAAAGAAACAGGGTTAGTCAGGTAGGATCTACCTGCTATGAACCCGTGCTGGTTGCCTTTCAGCATTATTTTTCCTGCTGGGCTCCCACAATGTGATCCTTGATAATTTTTTTTTAAAGGTTTTCCCAAGGATAGAGGTGAGACTAACCACCCTATAATTTCGCAGATCCTCCTTCCTCCCCTTCTTGAAAATAGGGCCCACGTTGGCCCTTTTCCAGTCCTCTGAGTGCTCAAACAGCCATGCAAGTGGCTCTGCTATGACACAAGTCAGTTCCCTCCATACCCTTGGATGAAGATCATCTGGGCCTGCTGACTTAAATACATTTAGCCCCTCCAAGTGTCCCTTTACTGGGTCGATGCTGACTGTTGGTTTGCTGGTGTTCCTCCTGTGCCTATCTATAATGCAGTTGGGAGATTTGTCTTGATCTGTGTTCAGGAATACAGAGACAAAAAACTCACTGAAGAGTTCAGCCTTGTCCCTCCTATCTGTCACCAGTTGCCCTAGCTTGTCTTGTAGGGGTCCTATGTTACCCTGCGCCTTCTTTTTGCTCCCTACCTGAAGAAGGACTTTTTGTTGTCTTTAATTTTTGTCACCAGCCTGAGTTCCGTTGCTGCTTTGGCCTTTCTAACTGACTCCCTGCAAGTGCAAGCCAAGGAGGTATACTTCTTGGTAGCTACCCCCTGCTTCCACAGCCTGTATGCCTCCTTTGTGCCTAAGCTTTCCTGGATTTCCCTGTTCATCCAAGAGGGTTTCCTCGCCTCTTTGCCCCCTTTTGTGCACAATGGGATTGTCTCCTTCTGCTCCCATATGATTGCTCCCTTGAGGAACAACCACCCTTCCTGGACTCTCATTTCACCAATGCTCTTGATCTTCAGTGCCTCACTAACTAATCTCCTGAGCACAACAAAGTTAGCCTTTCTGAAGTCTAGCACTTATGCCCTGCTGATTACTTTTCCCACCCTATGCTGGATAGTGAATTCAATTAGTCGATGGTCACTATCCCCTAGGTTACCTTGTACCTGCAGATCCTCCACCAGGTCGTCCCCTGTAGCTAGCACCAAGTCCAGCAAAGCATTTCCCCTAGTGGGGCCGTATATCCACTGCGTTAACTGAAGGTCCTGTATGCAGGTTAAGAACCTATATGAGCAGTTTTAGATCTGGCTGACTGCTCCCACCAGCTGTTAGGGTAGCTTAGGTCAACCCATGACAACCATGTCCCTTGACTGTACGGCCTCTGAGAGCTGCCTTGAGAATTCTGGGTCTAGCTTATCCTCCTGGTGTGGCAGTCTGTAGTAGACTCCCACTACCAAGTTCCTTTCCCCCCAACCCCCTTGTATTCTAACCCAGGACCTCAATTTGTCCCTCCTCTGATCCCATCTTGATTATAGATGTGTATTGCTCCTTAACATAAAGAGCACCGCCCCCTCCTTTTTCCCCCACTCTGTCATGTCTGTACAACCTATAGCCCTCAGTGCTTACTGCTCTATCATGAGTAGGGTCCCACCAGGTTTCAGTTAGCCCAACCAGGTCAAAGTTATTGCTTGCAAGCAGGAGTGCAAGTTCCTCCTGCTTGTTCCCCATTCTCCTAAGTGTAGAGACATTTAAGGCCCACAGTGGGTGCCTTTGGTACCCTTTTGTCCTGATGCCTATCAGGCCCCTTAGTACTTACCTGGGCTGAATCCAGTGCATGGCTCATGGCTCACTGATCCTAGGATCTCTCTGTCCTCTGCATCCCCATCCCCCAACAAACCTAATTTAAAACCCTACGTAGGAGATCAGCCAACCTGTAAGAGAACAGACTCTTACCTTTTGAAGAGAGATGAAGACCATCATGTCCCAGAATGCCCCTTTCATGGAAGTGCGAATCATGGTCAAAGAAGCCAAAACCCGCACAATGGCACCGACTCTGGAGCTGCAGGTTGACTTTTCTGATGTAGGCGTCTTGATGCTGACGGCGACCGCTGACTGGATCAACGAGAAGACCACCTGTGTCCCCGACTTCTAAAGCCTGGACCCCAGAGCCCTGCAGTCGCTTATGATACAGTCCGGACTACCCCAGCCACATCATTTGTACCCACATGGATGAGGACCTCATCTGGCCCTCCAACTACTATCCCATGGTCCTCATCCATGTGGGCACAAATGATGTGGCCAGGAGTCCTTGCAGTGATGTCCTGGATCCAGGCTTCAGCCAGGCAGCATACCTCCCACGCCATGGGATCCGAGCAACAGATAGGTCCCTCCGTTCCACCGTGATGAGTCGGTGTCTCTTTCTCCGGCGGCCCAGTTGTCCCTCAGCCTGCATGGTGGTTGTTATGGATGCGGCTTCCCCTGCTACATTCTCCTCCAGTGCTGCCATGGCCTAATATCTGTTCCCCAGCTGCACTGGAGAAGTTGTCTCAGCTGTATGATGATTGGCCTTGGAGGTGACCTTCTTCCGTTCATCTGCATCAGGTCTCTCCCATGTTGTCTCTCCACTAGGTGTCTGATTCTGAAGAGAATGGAAATTACCTGTCAATCTCATCCTCTGCAGCCCTGATCCCCCACAGCCTGCTAACCTCTGCCTGGAGTTCCTCACCTGCCTCTTCAGGGCCTCAGGCTGGGCAAACGTGGGACAGGTGAGGGAACTCCGGCTCCCCCTGCCTTCCTCAGGCCTCAGAGGCCCCACCAGGCAACCCCCGCAGACAAGGGCCCAGGGCGCCACCAATCCTCCTGAGGGCTCCGCCTGGGTGGAAGCCTCAGGAGCCCTGGGTGGGAAGCATCACTAGGGCTGGGTCCCTGGCTGCGCGTCGTGTCCTTACCATGGTTGAAGATTGAAGGCTCCTCCTCTTCCGCTCTGACTTACCTTGTGCACCAATTGTACCCATGCGTAGCCCTGCACACTGCCTGCAAACTGCTTCCCCTGTTGGCAGTCCCTGTTCGCTGGCTTCCTGGTCACTTGTTCATTTATTTCTATTAAGACCTGCAATTTATTACCTTCCCTTTTGTTCTTTCTCCTCTTCCTTGAAGTCTACAGGACTTAAGAAAGTGTGTACGTGCTGTTTCAAATCTTAAAGGTTTAAGAATTTGATTCTGATTTGCAGAAATGTAGGTATATAGCATCCCAGAAATTAGGACATTGCATTCAAAACTCTTTTAAAAGAACATTTTTTCAGGTTTTGAACTTACACAATCAAGTTACTGAAAGTCAGAATTAAAGCTGCATATCCATATACTCTATAATGCAGTTTTCATGAAATAATCACTGTTTTCTAGCTACTTCCATAATATGCCTAAGTTTTATATAGGATCACATTTCATGAGGTCTATATTACCTTCTAGGAACTCTAAGAATATGGAGGTGCATCTGTGTCATAGTTTAGTGACCCCTAATGGTCTATTGTGAAAATAAAAAATGAAAGAAAAATGTTTTTTTTTTTTTCACTGCAGTGTTTATTATAATATCCTGGTTTTTCTTTTGGTAGTGGACCAAATTTTTAAGTTCCTTTCTGTGATTGTTATGCTTGCCACTATAACAAGATTCCAGCAGCTCCCAAAACATTGAGACGTGTATATATAACCAGATGTATCTGCATTTTGAACTCCTACATTAGAGAGTTACATTTGGACAGCAGTAAGGCTAAATTATTCTTGATACATAATCCAGTTTTGAAGAAGGTTGTAGTAGAAATGAAAAAAATAAATCCTTTGTTTCATATTTCACTAGCTGGACTTGTCTTAATATGCAAGAGAGGCTGGACATTCTGTCTTTATGTATATGAATTAAAGCTACTATTGAAGCATTTTTCTTAAGTTTCATTGTGATATTTTAGAGGTTATTGAAAGAGTAACTTAGGAATTCAATAACAACACAACTTTTAAAGAGCTGCTGTATTAAAATAGTCATCTTTGCAATGTGACTTTTTATTTTACTGCACTTATTTGTAGCTTTAAATATGTATTTTTAAAAAGGATTTGCATTAGTAATTTTTAGACTGGTTTTAACATTTTTAAATGCATAGCATCTCTTTGAGATCATCTTCTGTGGTATGAAATCAAATGTGAATTAGGTTGTAAGAAATTTTGGATATAGTTATTTGCCCTGTAAATATATCTGAATTATATATATTAACTAAAAAATTAATTCATGTTACATTTTTTCAGCATCAGATAATGGTATTGAGTCTTTATAGAAATGAAAAAAGTTTAACTTCCTGGAAATTTTGTTGAGGAATGCTCAGATTTCCTTCCTATGTACTCAAAATTACATCTGTTACATAAGGACGACACCCCGATTTTAAATTATTATTTTTATAAATAGAACTGTTGGGAAAAGTAACTCATTCACATTTTTCTGTATTAGAAATATTTAATTGTATGGATTGTCAAAAAATGCAAACTGGTTATATATGTTGTTTTTAGGGCATTTTATTAAATACTACTGTTTCCGGTTTCATTATTTGAAAATATATGACTAGTTGGAAGATACAACAACAGTTTTTTGGCATTTTATGTGAATATATGAAGTACTGCAGTTATTGCACTAAATTACGTGTTCTCAAAAATCAAACCTTTGCAGTAATTAAATATGTCTGGAAGACAACAAATCCATGTTTTCTTTGGAGCACCCATCATTCCAACTCAACTGGAGGTGTATGAGAAAAAGTGTTCTTCAATAACTGCTGCTGAACCATGGAAAGAACTACATCTTTCCTATTGTGGGCATGCCTTATGCTTTTCCTCTGAGAAAGTAAAAGAAACTGGCCATGTAGAACTTCAAGCAACAAACTCTGTGGACCTGACTCATCATATCAAAAATCAGTTTTCTTTGAACTCTGGACAGAGGAGATTTGAGGTTGCAGAAGACTGTATGACATCTTGTGTTTCAGTAATAGGAAGCATGGACATTCTTGACAGTGCACCTACCAGAACTGGTGATCTAGCTTACTCTGATTATCAAAAATCTAAAGATAGAGAAATATACAAAAATCAGGTTGCATATCAACAGCTTCCTCAGATATTTACAAAAACAGAAAAACGCCACAGAAAACAATCAAAGGACTGTTTTTCAAACTACGCTGAAAGTGATACCAGACATATGAGAGACAACTGCTGTGATATTTCTGATTTGTTTTCCAGCGCCAAACAGATTAGCATGCATCTAAAATCTGTGGGACAAGAAGATGTTACATCAGAATTGAATAGTGTTAATCATGAACATCTGAGTCAGTATCTGGAGATGTGTTTTCCCATGAAATTAGAGTCAAAACCAAAAATAGTTAAGAATGATTGTTTCAACCTTGCAGTATCAACAGACACTGAATTTCTTAGTATACTGACTTCAAGTCAAGTTGCCATTTTTGCACAAAAAACATTTAAAAAACAAGCTGCACAACTAAGTGGATTAGAAACAGGAACAATGTGTGTTGAAAGAAAAGCAGCTTTAAGTCAAACCTTTAAATTGAACCATAATGCTGGAAAATGCATTAGTGTGACTGAAACTGAATACAGACAAGAGTCTTCCAAGTCTCGTGGACTTTTCAGTTCTGAAGGTGCCAGAAAAACTAGCTGCTTTGAGTCTACAAAAAACCCAGATTCTTGTGAAAATACAAAAAGGTCCCCGCAGCTCTTTACTGTTCCTGAACAACTTCTGAATGAGATCCATATTGAACCACTGAGCACAGGACTTCTGTGCTCCCAAGTAAATTATTCTCATAAATTCTCTTCTAAAAGAGCCCGAACATTTGAAGATACTCCAAGTATTTGTAATTCGGTACCTAAAACCGAAAACTCAAAGAGAGCTAAATTGTCTTGTTCTTCAGCTAGTCCTGGAATAATAGCAGATCGAGAGAAAGTATCAGAATTTGTGAAACTCCAGAACAATCCATTATTACTTAAAAACTGCTGTTGCAAAAGTCAGAAATATGTTGTTTTGGTCGCAGTAATACATCCTTGTCATGTCAAAGAAATTCTAATCAAGTCAAGATCAAGATCTTCCTCTAAAATTCCCATAGCAACTATTGTTGTTATCGACCAGTCAGAAGTAGAAAGAAAGATTGTGCTGTGGCGAGCTGCTGCATTTTGGTCACTCACAGTGTTCCCTGGTGATATTGTACTACTCACAGGTAAGAACTCCCTTTTGTTTTCTTTTTTAAATTAATCTCTTCATCTCTTATTCAAATCACTACACATAAATGTCACAGTTAAGTCACTCAAAATCATCTCAACTATCCAGCCCCTTCAACAACAACAAAATTTGACTTTTAGGGAGACCATTAAAAAATTAATGTACAATGTTTGGAGAATCTTTGGGTACAATGTTTAGAGAATCTTTGGGCTCTGAAAGACTTTACATTTTACAGTAGCGTGTTAATTGTGCAGTAAATTATTCAGCCAATTTATGATGTGATAAAATGGTTCATCTGAAGAACCTGTCTGCCTTGGGTACAAACATGTACTATAAAATATATGAAAGATTGTCTTTGAGATTGCAGTTGGTGGAGTCAAGTATTTATAAGAAATATCTTCTCATAGAGTGTCTTTATGAGATGCTTGGTATCAGATTATTTAATGTTTTACAGTAAGGGATGACTATCATGGTGCTGAGAGAACTTTTTTAAGTGTTCTTAAGACTGTCCCAATGTATTCTAAAAATTCTTTGTTTTACAAGTAGTTTATTTCTTCTTTAAATTTACTTTTTAGCTGCAAGCTAATACTCCATTCCAAAGTGCTCCAGTGAAGTAGGTAGAGTTCTGCTCATTTACAGGGTTCTGCTTCTGTGGAGCAACTTACATGATGAATCACTAGGAATTTACTTTAAGTCAAAGTAACTTAAAGCCAAAGGTTGGCTGTTTCTGAAAATTACCTCCTTGAAAGTCAGTCTTAGATATTGCACAAAAAGAGAGAAGAGTGTACTCAGTAGTGAAGTGGGTCATTGAATAATAGAGAAAGGAACAGCAGATTACTCCATTATACTTTGGCAGAAAAAAAAGAAAAAACAACTAGTAACTTAATTATATCGATACTAGATTGATATTGATACAAATTTCCAAATTAAGATTCTAAAGTAAAATCAGTTCCTGACTGGGACCTGTGGACATTTTTCAGTGTGTTCTGTGCTGATAGCCATCCATTTCCTTTGTTGCAGATGTCACTGTGTATGAGAACCTTTGGTTTGGGGAGATGATGCTACAGTCAACCTTTGCCAGTCGGTTATTAAATCTGGGGAGCTGCTCAGCTATTAATCCCAAAGAATGTGAGGCTGAAATATATTCATAAGAGAACCATTATATTTTTCCAATTCGTAACCTTTGTATAGGTAGTCCTTAGACTTACGACACAATTGGTTCCTGAAAGCGGCATCTCAAGTCGAAACGTAACTCAGAACCAATATTCCCATAGGAAACAATGTTATAAATTGGGGATTGGTTCCTGAACCAAGGCCCAGTACCCTATTTTCACCAAAAATAACAGAATTTTATACTCAATCAATTATAGATGAGTAATATAGCTACGTTAATGTATTTATATTGTAAATAGCAATCATATTGATTTGGAAGGACTTATTTGAGGTGACTTTACTGGACTTTTTGAAGGGTTCTTTGTTGGAGTCTTCTCAGGAGTCTTGGCTGTATGTTTTTCTGGAGTCTTGTCTGCTTTCTTAAAGTGTCTAAGGAAGTTTGGATAGATGTTCTCTTCTTTTGCTGCAGCTCATCTGGCTGCCCCCCCTGTGGCGAGGTGAGCAGTGCTGGGCTACGTTTTGGTGGTGCTGGGAGCAGAGGCTATGAGCAGCCGTGAGAGAATTAGCAGCTTGTCCAGCTGCTCCCCCACGGTGAGGTGGAAGGCGTCAGGAGCGGGGACTCTGCCATGCCATCGCTTGTCCAGCTGGGATGCAGGGGTGCGGGATGCAGGTGCAGAGGCTCTGGGACCAGGGGCTATTCCCTGCTGCCGCTTGCCCAGCTGGGACAGGGAGCAGAATGTGCGGCACTGCCTCAGACAAGCAATGCACAGCAGCGTAGCTGCTCCAGCCTCCCTGCATGTCCTGGATGAGCTGTGGTTTCGCTCCACCCTGGTGAGTGGTGGCAGGGCATGGGGCAGACGGAGCCAGAGCTGCTCCAGGCATGCGGCAGGAGTTATGGGGAATTTTAGGGTGGCTGCAGCCCCCACATAGCCACTGCTCTGCTGCCTGCCCTGTGCAGATCTGGGAGCACACGCCCTCACCGTGCCCTGCAGATGCCACTGCTTGGCGGGGTGAAACCGTGGCTTATCCAGGAGGCGCAGGAAGGATGGAGTGGCTCCTCTGCTGCCCGCCGCTTGTCCGAAGCAGCGCCTTCACCTCATGCCTCCCCCGCCCTGGCTGAACAAGTGGCAGCAAGGCAGAGCCCTTGCTCCCAGCATCTTCCACCCAGAGCGAGCTGTTCCTGCATTGCACGCCCCCACCCTGGCTGGGCAAGTGATGGCACGGCATAGCCCCTGCTCCCAGCACCTTCCACCTGGTGCACGGCCCCAGCCACCTCATGCAGATCTGCAGCACCGCCCCCCCTGCCCTGGACCTGTGGCATGCAGCAGCAGGAGCTGTTGTGCCCCCTCTCCGTGCCCCGTCCCAGCCACAGCCACAATCTCTCCCTCGCTGCAGGGGCATTGATCTGCCTCCCCACACCTCTTCCCTCCCTGCTCCCCTGCACCACCACAGACTTACTAGCTGGATGCAGCTGTGTCCAGTGTCACAAAGGCAAAACCAGCATCGTAACCTTGAAACAAGGTGTCAGTTTACAAATGTCATAAATGCCATTTGACGAAACTTGAAACGTAAATCGAAGACTGCCTATACTAGATTAGAACTCAAAGAAGAGAATATTAAATCTCTTGTTTTCCAACATTTATTTAAAAAATAGCTATTTAAAATATTTTATTTGTATTAATGTTTATATTTTTCTAATAAGTAAATATGGAAAATTTAATTTGTACAGAACCCTACCAAATTTGAGAACAATCCTGGACTGAGAGGCTTCTATACTATGTAGTACAAATAAGTGGTTACCATTAAAAAGTATTAATTTACTGAAATATCTTAGTTCTGTGAACTTGGAATACAGAAAACAACATAAAATTTGTCTCGGGGATAGCACATTAGTAAACCATGATGTAACATAATCATCTTAATCAAAATTGCTTTACACCTTACAATTTGGTTATTGTGTAAGATGCATTTTTATTTTCACATGAGTTTTGGGTGCATTTAAAACAGCACACATTTTGTGCTGGAATTCTATCACAAAATAAAGCATAACTTCTACTGTTAAAAGAAATGGCACCTTGTACTATTTCAAATGTGGACAAAGTGGTACAGATAATAAATGGTAATACTTAAGATTTTTTCTTAACTCCAGAAGTCCTTTGAGACTTACTTTTAATATTTTTTAAGTTTCTCATGTAGTAGACGTTGGTGTTCTCCAGGATTTACTGGCATATGTATCTTCAAAATTTACCTACCTCAGAGATCTTCCACGCATGCATCTGCAGAAATGGGATAATATACAGCATGTTCAACTAGACCAACTTCAGCAAGATACATTGATTCATTCAGTATTAAAAATCGTCAGCATCTCCATACTAACAGGTTAGTTGACTTATTGAACTTAAACTGCCACCACTTCATAATTACTTTGCTGAAAAGTAATTAAATTCTGCTCTAGCAATTAGCATTTTTAAATAACAGTAAACTTTTTAGTTAAACGAACATTTTTTCTTTTTTTTTAATCAGTATTTAAATTTTAGATGCTGTTTCTGACCTTAGAACATTGATACTCTGTTAGGCCTCTGTTACATGTTATACTTGTTACACAATTAAAAAAATCACCCTGACATCTGCTGGGAGGGCAATATAACACTGCACAGGCAATCCATAAAGTTTTAGAGAGCGTTGACATCTTCCTGGTGCAAGTGTTGGAGAAGCCAACCGAGTGCCATGCTATTCTTGACCTGCTGCTTTTACAAACGGGGAAGAATTGGGTAGCAGCAACCATGAGATGATTGAGTTTAGGATCCTGAAGAAAAGAAGGAAAGAAAGCAACAAAGTAAGGTCTCTGGACTTGTGAGAAACAGACTTGGATTCATTCAGGAAACTGATAGATAGGATTCCCTGGGAGGCCAATTTGAGGGGGAAAGAAGTCCCGGAGACCTAGTTGTAATTGAAAGAAACATTATTACGGGTGCAGAAACAAACCATCCCAATGTGCAGGAAGACTAGCAAGTACAGCAGAAGACCAGACAGGCTTAGCAGGAATCTCTTCAGTGAGCAGAAACACAGAGAGGAAGCTTTCTAAGAAACGGAAACTTGGAAAGACAACTAGGGAAGAGTATAAGAGTATTTCTCAGGCATGCAGGGATGAAATCAGGAAGCCAAAGTGCAATTTGAATTGCATCTAGTAAGAGACATGAAGTGTAACAAGAAGGGTTTCTACAAGTATGTCAGCAACAAGAGGAAGATCTGGGAAAGTGTGGGTCCCTTACTGGATGGAGGAGGCAATCTAGTGACAGATAACACACAAAAGTCTGAAGTACTCAGTACCTTTTTTACCTCATTCTTCACAAACAAGGTCAGCTTCAGGACCACTGCACCTGGCAGTACAGTTTGTGGAGGAGATGGAGTGGTGAAAGATCAGGTTAGGGACTATTTAGAAAAATTGCATGTGTACAGGTCCATGGGGCCAAGCACAATGCACCTGAGGGTCCTAAGGGAGTTGGTCAATGTGATTGCAGAGTTGACGACCATTGTCTTTGAAAACTCATGGCAATCAGGATGATTGGAAAAAGGAAAATATAGTGTCCATCTTTAAGAAAGGGAAGAAGAAGGATCCAGGGAGCTACTGGATCCAGTTAGCCTCACCTCATTCCCTGGAAAAATCATGGAGCAGGTCCTCAAGTAATTCATTTCTAAGCACCAGTTGGAGAAATTGATTAGGAACAATTAGCTTTGGATTCACCAAGGGCAAGTCATGCCTGGGAGCCACATCTGATCCTCCCCCGAAGTTTAAGAGCTGGACAACAGGGAGTAGGTGCGACTGCTGAGCAACCTGGAGTGGAGGTGACCCCCCTGCACTGCTGAGCCACTTGGGCTTTCTCTGTGGGGAGTATGCCCTGGGGTAAGTAGTAACAGCTGCAGTCCATGCCCCAGCAGCCTGGTGCCTGATCCAGCAGTTCCAGAGAGAGAGGAGGGAGGAGGGCGGGCTCAGTATGTGCTCCCTGCAGGGAAAGCCGGAGCAGTGGGAGGTACTGTGCTGTGCTGTCTCCCAGACTTGCCTCAAGGAGAAGTGGGTGGGGCTTCAGCCGATTTTCAGAGAGCTGCAAGTACCATGCCAGTGAACTGCATGCAGCTCATGAGCAGCGGTTTGGCCACCTCTGTAATATAGCTTGATTTTAGCAAGGCTTTTGGTACCTTTTTGTAGCATGTTGGAGTCCCAACGGCAGCCATGATGCCCCCTGGTGGCTCTGTGACCATGACCTGCTCCACCCCAGGCTGCCTTCCCTTCTCGTCCACCGTGCTTTGGTTAATAAAAAATAGGGAGGCTGCCCATGGGCCTATGCATAGGCCCCAGTCCAACTGGAGCCTGCCCTGGGATGCCCCAGCACCCTGCTGGCCTCTACTAGTCCCAGACCCTTGGCTGGGCGTCCTTATGACTGTGCTGCAGCAGGGCACCTAAAGCCTTGGGGGCTAAATGCGCAGCTCCAGTCCTCCCCTACACCATGCTCCAAGCTTCACGGGTGTTGCAGTAATGATATTCTCCTGTCAGGGCTTTGGCCTCTGCCCCTTTATTCTAGAAGCTAGGAGCTCTTCACCCTGTGGCTGCCAGGGAGAGGCTAGCCTGCTAGCCCAGCCTCAGGCTTATATCCTTCCAGGGCCCTGCCCCCTTCTGGTCAACAGGCTGGCTGCAGGTGCCTGCTAATTGGCTTAATTGCTCTATAGTCTTGGCAGCCTTCAGCTAGTGCACCCTGCCTAGCTTGCTGCTGCTTCCTTAAAAGAACAGAGAGCGCCAGGTGTTCTGTTGCACATCTCGCACAATATTTGTGCAAACAAGCTAAGGAAGTATGAGTTAGATGAATGGACTGTAAACTATATAGAAAACTGACTGGATGGTCAGGCAGTAAGGTTAGTAATCAATGGCTTGATGTCTAGTTGGAAGCCAGTTTCAAGTGGACTGCTTCAGGGGTCGGTCCTGAAGTCAGTTTTCCTAGAATCATAGAAAATTAGTGTTGGAAGGGACCTCAGGAGATCATCTAGTTTTGTTCAGTGTCTTCAGCAATGATCTGGAAGATGGGATGGAGTGCACCCTCAGCAAGTGTGCAGATGACGCCAAGCTGTGGGGAGTAGTTGATATGGTGGAGGGTAGGGCTAGAATTCAGAGACACTTTGACGAATTGGAGGATTGGACCAGAAGAAATCTCATGAGGTTCAATAAGGACAAGTGCAACATCCTGCACTTAGGACGGAACAATCCCATGCACTGGTACAGGCTCGGGACCAACTGGCTAAACAGCAGCTCTGCAGGTAAGGACCTGGGAGTTACAGTGGGCAATAAGCTGAATATGAGCTAACAGTGTGCCCTTGTTGCAAAGAAGTGTAATGGCATAGTACGCTGCCTTAGTAGGAGCATTGCTCTCAGATTGAGAGAAGTGATTATTTCCCTCTATTCAGCACTGGTGAGGCCACATCTGGAGTGCTGTTTTCAGTTTTGGGCCGCACTGTAGAAAGGATGTGAACAAATAGGAGAGAGTCCAGCAGAAGGCAATGAAAATGGTTAGGGGGCTGGGGCACAAGACTTCTGAGGAGAGGCTGAGGGAACCCATTAGTTAGTCTGAAGAAAAAACTGCAGGGGATTTGATAGCAGCCTTCAACTACCTGAAGGGTAGTTCCAAAGAGGATGGAGTTAGTCTTTTCTCAGTGATGGCAGATGACAGAACAAACAGTAATGATTTCACATTGCAGCAAGGGAAGTTTAGGTTAGACATTAAGAAAAATGTTCTCACTAGCACTGGAACAGGTTACCCAGAGAGGATGTGGAATCTCCATCCTTGGAGGTTTTTAAGACCCAGCTAGACAAAGCCTTGGCTGCAATGATCTAGTTGAGGATAGTCCTGCTTTGAGCTGGGGGTTGGCCTGGATGACCTCCTGAGGTCCCTTCCAACCCTGATTTTCTATGATTCTCTGAACTGGTCAATCGTGCAGTAAATTTAGACTGGCCACATGTACTAGGTAATATCATATGACTATAGCTGGTTGGTTCTTTTTATAGTTGCATAAAAGTAGTGCTTGAAAATGTGTAACAATTTATGTGGTTTCTATCCAGCTTTAATTTGAATATGTAGCAGGGCCCATAGATTCACAAAATGTGGTTCTTTAGAAACTCCAGTGTGGTGCTCTTGGTGATGCAAGGAGAGCTTGCTTGTGGAACTAGCAACATAGAGGTAATGCATGTTCTCCCAGTGGTGTTTTGAAAAATGAGGTTCATCGATTTTTCAGAGTGGTATGGCCTCATTCCTTCATATTAACCCAGTGGGGTAAAGAGGTTTGAGTGCCAGGCTCTTTCCCCCTCCTGTGATGAGTACTGGCCCAGAATTTGTGAGGTGGAGTAGAGCTGCAATTGGCCCCAACTTCCTGATCAGTGGAGAGTTCTAAGAATGGGATCTTGAGGAATGGAAGATCAAGACTGTAGTGGTATGACTGAATCCCTGGGTAGAGGTTCAGTGGTACTGCTGAGGGTACCATGAGGTGGAAGGAGGGTTTCCAAGTGCTGTGGGTGAGGACAATAGGCCAGTTTTAGGGGGTGGGGGGTGTATTCAAAGTGCTGTTGAGGATGGTCTTTGCCCTGCAGTGTAGTTCTGTGGGCTTCTGTAGGTTGTCCTGTCCTGATTGGTACCTGATGGAAGCTGATGTGGGTAGCCCACTGCTTTTCCCATGGTGTTTTGCAAAATGAGACTGGATTTGAAAACCCTGTCCCTGCATGGGTGTGTAGGTAAGGCTGTGGTGCAGGCTGAAGAGAGTACCCCTGGCTGTAGTGTCCCATTGGCAGAGGCTGTTATAGGTACCCTTTAGGGAAGTGCAGTAGGAGACCAGTCTGGCTAGACAAGAGTCTCTTCAATGAGTTGAAACTCAAAAAGGAATCCTATAAAAAGTGGGATTAAAAGTGGAATTGGTCGTATTATTTCGGAATAATATAGGTGTATCACATGGGTGTGCAGGGAGAAAATTAGGAAGGCCAAGTCAAGATTTGTGATGCAACTGGCAAGGGACATGAAAGTAATAAAAAGGAATTCTATAAGTATTTCAAGAGGAAGACCAAAGAAATGGTAGGCCCCCTACAGAATTTACGGATAATGCAGCAAATGCTGAAGTATTTAACGCCTTTTTACTTCAATCTTCACAAATAAGGGGCAACTACCAGATGAGTACAGCTGGCAGAAAAGATAAGCGAAGGAGACATGCAGCCTAGAGTAGTTGAAGTAAGTGAGGGATTACTTAGAAGCTAGACACTTTCAAAAAGGGAATGAATGAATTCTTGGAGGAAAGGTACACCAGTAGCTATTGAGTATGGGAGTTTAGGTACAGCTTCTGACTCAGAACTTCCTAAACCTTAAGGCTAGAGACAGATGTTACACACAAACCAATTTAAGTGATCAGAAACTGGTTTAAACCTGTAACAGAACAGATGTTCAGTGCACATAAACCAGTTTGAAAATGGCTGAAACAAGTTTGAGATACACCTGGTTGATTGTAGTATGATTTGACTCAGGCCGGTTTATCCATTGTCTGTCCCAGACCCCTTCCTGGTTTAAGTTAAACCAGAATTCTCCAGCATCCCAGCATGCTTTCTGGCCTGGGCAGGGCTCTCTGCTGCAGGGCTGGGTCTTGGTGACAGGGCTGTCTGCTGCAGGGCTGCTGGGTGGGGCTCTCAGCTGCAGGGCTGATCCTTCCTCTCTGATCTCTAGCTCAAGCCAGGGACCAGCCCAAGCAGAGACACTGGCCGGCATAGCCCCATTAAGGTGAAGTGGGCAGGGAGGAGGTTAATTCTTCCCTCCTTCCCCTCCTTCATTACCACAGCCAGGGTCTACTTGTTTGCTGGGGAGCAAAGGGGAGGGTGCTGCAGCAGTAGACCCTGTGGCTGGCAGACCCTGGCTGCAGGGCAGAAGGGATGGAGGAAAGAATTAACCTTTCTTCTTGCCCGCCTTCACCTTAACGGGGTCATGCCAGGGCTCTGTTCTGTGCTGGGGGGGTGGGACTCTTCCCCCTCCACTTCCTCCTCAGGGTGGGAGGGCTTTATGCAGCGCTGGGGAGGAACTCCTGCTTCTCCTCCTGGGGTGGGAAGGGGACTCTGCGAGGCTGCCCAGCCCCTAGAGGGGGACTCTTCCCCTGCTCCTCTCCCACTGCATGGCAGGGAGGGGGCTCTATGCCAGGCTGCCCAGCCCCAGAGGGGGGCTCTTCCCCCCCCCCACTCCCCCAGTCTGTGTGGCACTCCTCAGCTCAGTCCAGCCGGGGCACGGGGAGTAGCTGTAATGGAGCTGCAGCTGCTAGGGGTGGCCCTGCCCTGATGGCCCAAACCAGCCTTACTCAGCTCAAGCCAAGGCAGCCGTATGGCCTGACCAGGCTATGGGGTGGGCCCACCCCAAGCAGCTGTGGCTCAGTGAGCCCACCCCAAGCAGCTGTGGCTCAGTGACTGGGATGTTGAGCCCTATCAGCAAGTGCAGCCCGGCCTAGCCCAGCATATAGACAACAGGTGCTAGCCAGCCTGGCTTAGAGATGCCGCAGGGGTTCATGTGGCTCTAGCCAACCTCATTGATGGGTGGCTACTGGTCTCTGGGCCCACTGGCCCGTCTGAGCCAGCCCAGCTAGCCCACTGCCTGGCCAGCCGCTGGTTGCATGCTGGGCCAGGCCAGGCTGCACTCACTGGTGGCTCAACATCCCAATCGCTGAGCCGCAGCTGCAGGGGGTGGCCCCACCCAGATCATGTGGCTGCCTTGGCCAGGTCTGAGCAAAGCTGGTCTGGGCCATGGGGGCCAGGCCAGGAGCACCACACAGAGCTGCCTCTCCCTGCTCCATGGGGGGGTGAGGAGAAGGGGGAAGAGCCCTCCTGCTACAACACTGAACAGGCCCCCCCTCCCTGCCCTGTGGAGGAAGGCGGGGGGCAGAGGAGTTTCCCATTGGGGGAAGGCAGCCTTGCAGAGCCCCCCTCCCCATCCCACGGCAGCAAGGGGTGGAGGAGGAAGAGCCCCCCCACCCCTTAGCACCCCTCCCCTTCTCACCCTGTGGTGGCGGGAGAAGAGCTTTCCTTTGGGACAGCCTGTCATAGAGCCTTTCTTCCCACAACCCATGCTGCCGTTTTGGGCAGGCGAGGTGGATCCTCGCACAGACAGCAGCACTGTGTGTGTTTGGAGCCCCAAAGTACGCCAGTGCCTCTGTGCCAGTGGGCCCCGCACTGCCAAGCTCCCATGTCTGCCAGGGAGAAGCCCCTTTTGCAAAGGTGCCCGGTGCCTGGCAGAGTGGAATGTCCCTCACGCAGTGGTGCCTTCTCCTGCCCACGCGCAGACCAACATCTCTGCAGCAGCTCCAGGTGCTCAGGCCTGTATTGCATGAATGATGTTGCCATGGCGGCAGCAGCAGCAGGAAACTTCTACATTGCTAAGCATGGTGACCCTCCTGCTGCTTGCGGAACCTGTAATTTGCCATGGGCTCAGGCCAGCAGCAGGGCACAGGAACCAGACTATGCTTGCCAGGGTGCTTGAGGCATGCAGCCCCAATTATCAGCTACAATGACCAAAAAAGCCGATAGCCAGTAACATCATTTCTTTTTTTATCGGTGCTGATCTAATACCCAACCAATATATTGGTACACCCCCTAATTACAGTTACTCCTGTTAAGTTTGCTTGTGCACATGCAAGTGGATGACCATAAATAAATATTTCTTTGAATCTGTTATTATAATTTTAGTTTCTGGCTTTGTCTTAGAGTCTGATTCCAGGACATACCAAATGCTACTTTTTCCCTTCCTCTTGATCTGTTGGTGGGAGTTGGATTTGCTCAGAGCCTGTGAAGACAATGCTTATAAATATTTGTGACAGTTTTTAAAAGTACTTTATACTCAGAACTTCCTATTACATCCCCCAAATAGGTGCTCAGTTTTTCAAAAGTGCTTATCATTTCCTGTTTCCAGTGGAAACTGCTGGCTCCTGAACATTTTAGAAAACTGGTTCTTAAAAATGTATTGCTGCATAAAAACAATGAACCAAGGTTCTGGTATCCTCATTGCATTTCTGAAAACGGTTTTATGTTCCTGAAAAGTTGTCAATTCTTTCTCATTCTTGCATGAAAAAATTGAAGATTCTTTCTTCCACTCGTATATAAATCATATATTGTAAGACTCTGTCTAATTATCTGATTTGATCTTTATTACCACAGGTATTTTCACATTTTACAGAAGTTCATAAAATTATTATCAGAAGCAAATATTTTGAGGGGTGATATCTTTTATTAGACCAACTGCATAGCTGGGAGAAATTTCAGGCAAGCTTTCAGGCACAAGATACCCTTCCTCAGGTCACTTCAGGGTACCTTGAGCTCATAAGCTTGTCTAAAATCTCTCCCTACTGTGCATTTAAGAGATCATCACAGCTACAACATCACTCCAACATTACCACAAAATTAATGACATTCATATCATATGAAACTTTTTCAGAAGCTGTGTACAGTTACAAGGGAGAAAAGCAAAGAAAAGTTATTCTAACAGTGGAACAGATCAGAGATCAACCTTATATAATGGTACTGTGGGGTGCAGGGGCAGCCTGGTACCCTCAACTACGGAAGAAAAAAGGTACGTATAGCTAAACCAAATGGACAGTATCTGGTGGAATAACATTTGTATACTCTGCCATTACAGTCAGGAGCTAAGAAGGAGAAAATATAAGCATCTCTGCAAGGTATGAGTGAAAAATAAAAAGATATGTTGTACATGCTTCTTTTAATAGTACTTAAGCATTCAGTTATAAAATATTTAATTCAAGATTTATGTGGCCCCTGGTTCTACTGTGATGACATATTTTGCAGTGTTAGATGTCTAATGAATTTCCTTTATTTGAAAATTGTCATCAGCAACAAAAATTGCAGTGTCCTTTGTTTTCAGAGTCTTAAATGTTATGATAATAAAGCAGGAATATTTATAAAATGTGAATGAGATTTTATAAATCTACTTGTGCTATATTATTGCAAAACCATAAAAGAGAGATCTTTAGAAGTGTTCCGATATCTCAATTTATCTTTTTCCTTGATACTTTTATTTTGGAAACTAGCTTAATTTTTTTTAAAGACCCAGCATGTTCCCTAGTTTTTCCACTCTTTAATTTCCAGTGTACATCCAATGTCACCACATTATCAGACTCCACACAGGGGCTGTCAGTTCCATGCACTAAGGCTAGGGACAGCCATTCAGAAAGCCTGAGCCTGAATTAATTCAGTCTTTGCAGATTAGTCTAACCTGGCTAGGCAAAATCACTTTGTAGCTACACAGACGTCCCAGAAATGCAGCCACATGCCTGCAGTGGGTCAGGCCAGAAGCTGGGGATGCTAGACCAACCCTCCCTTCCCTTCCCCAGGGCTGACTTAAAGGGAGCGTGGCCAGGCCCCAGCAGCACACTGTGATTAGGGAGGAGTCCCCCCTCCTTGATAACAGAGCATTTATCAACTCTGTTATCAGCATTTAGCACCCCATAGGAAAACAAACCCTTGCTCAGCAGTTGAAGCTCTTAAACAGTGTTTTCCAAAAGAATGCAGGGACATTACCAACTGAGCTGTTGATTAGCTCCAAAAGACCCTAACCAAGCACTGTCCTATCTGCCTTACATAGCATTAGCTAGCATACCACATGCTGGCTACAGTCTGTGCTGTGGGGGAAAGGAGAAAGGGATCTCTGCTTAAGCAGTGACTGGTGAGAAGGGGAGGGGGCACAGGAAAGCCAGCAGACCCTGCTGTGCCTGCAAGTCTCTGCTGGAGCTTCAGCCAGGGAGCAGAGGCCAGTTCTGCTGTGGAGCAGAGCATCTCGCCATGCCCAGAAAGCATGCCAGGATGCTGGGGGAGTCTGGTTTAGCATATACCAGCAAAGTGTCTGGGACAGACATTGCATAAACCTGTTTGACCCAAATCAGTTAAGTCTGATACTACATTCAACTAGATTTATCTCAAACCAGTTTCAGCCATTTTCAAACTGGTTTATGAGCACTGAACATCTCTTCTGTGACAGATTTAAAACAGTTTCTGATCACTTAAACTGGTTTGTGTGTAATGTCTGTCTTTAGCCTAATTGACTGAAGGTATCCCTGTCAAGAATCTCAAGTCCTACATTTTGCAGTTGGCTATTACTGATTTACTGCTGCTTTTACTGGTGGTTGTTTATATAATGTGTAGAAATGGATTTTGAGTTAGTTACCTGTAGTTCATGTTTCTAATCAGTAGTTATTTTAGGGTATTATTTTGCAGAAACTGAAGTACAGAGTGCATGTCCCCCAGAAGTCAGTTTAAAGTCAGTATATTATAGTGTACTTTACATCATTTAGTATTTGTGGTTTTGATTTTAATGAACAGAGGAGAATCTGTCATACATAACAGGATTGTCCAATTTCTGAGTACCCAAGGGTCACATGCTGTGCGAGCCACAGGTAGGCTTTTCCATTGTGCTGCACTACACTGTGTGAACTGCCCCAAGAGACAGGGGCAGAAAGCTGAAATTGGAGGAATAAGGAGAGCCTGGAGACCCCTGTAGTAAATTAAATCTTTGAAGGCTGCCAGTTGAACAGACCTTATCTACAGTATACAAGATGGGCTTAAGAAGCATTTTTCCTATAGCTCTAGTGTTCTGGGGGCCAGCATGCTGAAAAACTTTTAGGATCTTATTCCCACTGGTCATTAGACCTGTGCGAAGTGGCAAGTATTTGATTCGTATTTGGCCTATTCAGAGGCACAGTGATTCAATTTGGTGATTTGAGTCACTGTGCTGATTCGATTCTGCCAAATCAGATTAGGAGATTCGGCCACAGCATATAATGTGGAATCACTAAAATACCTACAACTTTGTCATTTTTTTTTTGGATTTGGATGAAAACAGGGATGGTAGTCCCTTCTGAGGGCATAAAGCCTGCCAAGTTTTAAGAAGATAGGTGCAGGGGTTTCTGTGAAAGTGCCTCTCAAACTGTTGAAAGCAACAGTATGTGCTGTATGTGCTTTTCCTGGGTGGAAGGAATACTAAAGCAGCCAGAGGCTGGTATGCAGGCAAGAAAGCCAGTCAGTGAAAATGGAAATTGAGGTGTCGGGGGGGGTGAGGGACAGGCTGCGGGGGGAGCAGGGAAGGGGGTGTAGCACGTAAAAGTGGAGAGGTTCCTGGGGAGTCAGAAGTCAGGCAGGTTATAGTGTGTCATAAATCCAATGTCTATATTGAGTCCATGAGTTTTTGTATCTAGGAGGTTGATGAAGTGAAGTTCATAGGTTCATCTGTGAAAAGTGTTTTGTAAATTTAAACAAGCACAGAACCTTGGTAACCTCATCACCAGAAGCAAACTTCGTATAGCCCAAAACATACCGAATGGATGCAGACCATGCCATGACAAGAAATGCAAAACCTGTCAACATAAATCCAGTACCCCGACAATTACTACATCCCCACAACAGAGCCATTACCATTCATGGATCTTAGAGCTACACCTCTAAACACATTATATATCACATCCAATGCACCAAATGCCCTAATGGAAAATACATAGGAAAGACCAAACAACAACTGCACACCAGAATGAATGCACACTGAAAATCTATTAAAGACAAGAAAACCCAATTACTGGTGGGGGCACATTTTTCACAAGAAAGCCACTCTGTCTCCATTCTCTCAGTCTTGTTCTTCAAGGGGAATATACAAAAACATCTTTTGTAGACAAGCCTACAAACTTTATAAATCTCTTGGATATAAAAAAATCATGGACTCAATATAGTCGTTGGATTTGTGACATACTATAACCTGCCTGACGTCAGACTCCCCAAGTACCTCTCCACTTTTACCTGCTACATTCCCCTTCCTCCCAGCCTGTCTCTCACCCCTTGATGCCTCAATTTACATTTTCACTAGCTGGCTTTCTTGCATGCATTGCATGCCAGCCTCTGACTTCTTTACTATTCCTTCCATCCAGAAAGAGCCCATACATCAACTATTGATCCTTCCTCAGCCTGACAATTGGTTTTTAAACCTGAAAGCTTGCAAGATATATTTCTCCAACTATTCAGTTGGTCTAATAAAAGATATTAGATTGACCCAAAGTCCCTTGTCTGCCTTGTGTGTGTTAAAGCAAAGTGGAATGAATGCAGCAGGATGGGAGCCTGTAACAGGGGGCCTTCCCAGTGCCAGTTAGTTCTCAGTCTGCCCACCTGGTTCTGGTCCAATTGCCCGCCCCTCTTTTGTCTGCCACACCTTTATAGAAAACTGATACAGATGTTACCCAGGTAGGAGGCTGTCCATTTAGGCTCCTGATGTCTAGAGGTGACATCAGTTCCACAGCTCTGTACTTCTACACTGTGGCCCATGTCTCGCAGATTGCATCCTTCATCTCTTTAGCTGTGGTCTCTTCTCTCTGGAACCTTTGGCTCCCCCTTAGGCCCTGGCCCTGCCTTCAGGCCAGTCAGAGTCCCAAGCCTCTTGCTCTGGACATTCCTCACAGTGGGCCCCTCGCCTTTTGACCCCCCACCCCTGTGGGTCCTGGCACCAGCACGAACTAGTCGAGGGTACCTCAGGCCAGATCTGAGCTGCCTGCCTGTTCTCACCCTCACAACTCCACTGCAACCAGTAAGCCTCAGGGCTCTCAAAGATCTTACAGGTCTGGTCTTTCCCCAGCCAGGACTGTATGTTCATGCGTGCAGTGGCTGTAGGTTATCAGGCACCTCCTACCCACCTTTCACTGGGGAGGTTCAAGGTCCTGGCATTTCCTGGGGCTGCCGTGCCACTGGCAGTCCCACCAGGCCTTTCTACCCTGGCATGGTGCAGTTTTAGGTTATGCCCAGGACCTGGGGCCTGCTTCTTCCCCATAGCCCCAGCCCATGCCTCCAAGTTCGTCTTGGCATGGGAGCTAAGCAGGGAGATGTTCCTCCCTGCTGGCTGGTGAAAAATCAAACTCCTGTCTCCAGCTCTGAGAGCGGGGCATTAAATCATTGTGGAAGCAACTAAAGGAAGGAAACAGGTGCGGAGTGAGGAGGGTGGCACTCCATCTGCATGTGGAGCTTGGGGAACCCCAGCAATGGGACGTTGACCTTCAGGAACACCAGCTGTTCCACCAAACCAGGATCCAAGGAGGCACAGTGGGGTGTCACAACATCCCCAGCAATGCTGAACACCCTCTCGCTTGGAACACTAGTTGGTGGACTGGACAGGTATTCCTGGGCAACTGGGGCCAGATCCTGCCACATCTAGCTGCAGGTTGCTCGCATCGCAGCAGCATCTCATCCTTGGCGAGATGAGTATCCATCGAGGCCTCTGCGCTACCTGCCAGATGGTGGGGTCTGGTGCCTCAGGACCCCAACATTAAAGCCATGCCCTTGGCCCACATTGGCAGCGGCTATGGAGGAGGAGATTGGCTGGTGCTTGGAGAGCTGGCATGGGATAGTGGATCCCCCTCTTCCATGTGCCCCCATCTGTGCCCTTCTTCCTCCCTGACTCTGTTCACCAGCTCCACTGTCCAGTGATCGAGGATTTTGCTGCTGCAGATGCTCTCCTTCACCCTTGGGTCACACATGCCCACCAGCACATGAACTGTACTGTACTGCAACGGATCCAGCCATTTTTTG